ATTTTGATTTTATTTTATTAAACTATAATGAATATGTGATGTTAGTTATAAATAAAACAAATTAAGATGTAATAACTGTCATTATTTTTGCATAAGACTTTCATTCATTAACAACGGTTCATTACATGTTCACTGCTAAAAAAAGGCCTCTCCCAAGGTAAGCCACCAAACGGCGGTCCTGAGCCACATGGATCCATCGAATTTCAGCATCTCTTACCTGGTCATCACTTCTTCTATTGGGGGCCGTCCTACACTTTGCTACCAGTACGAGGCTATAATCGAGAAGCCTTCATATCTATTGGTAATCGGTTATTTGAGCTTCATGGTCGGTGCATAACCGGGTTATTCCGTTTATCTACACTAAAGAATACACCCAAGCATGGATACTCGGAAATGCATATACGTCTATCCACCCCAGGCGGGGTGTATAATCGGAATTCGTATATAATAATTTCTTATATTTACGCGAACACTACACATTGAAATAATACTAGTTTTTACGGAATTTATCGCGTATATTTAACTTTTTAAATACCCGACGTTTCGAGAGCTATACAGCACCCATGGTCACGGGAAGGACTGAGATGTTCAACGTCCAGATGTCATAGTTAACCGCGGTTACCATAGATTAAAATTTAACTTTTGTTCCGATTTACACAGTATGAACTTATGGTATCATGAAGTCTTGCAGTTGTATGCTTGAGTTGGGATTTAATTTTATTTATTATACGATCCCAAGCAGATGGTAGCACCCAGCCATCTTCTCTATTGAAATTAGGATGTTTTTTGATTTCAATAGCCTCGCGAATCATCCTTGGAAGGAATCGGTGTTCTTTAGCGAGGATTTGTGGTCTATCAAATCTGATGTAGTGACGGGGGCGATCCTGTACATGTTCACAGACTGCAGACTTCCCGGAGCGTCGATTCTTCACATCAGCTATATGTTCTTTGACGTGGGTTTTAATTGATCTTTTAGTTTGTCCTATGTAGGAGAGACCACATTCACAATCAAGCTTGTACACTCCTGCATCTTGCAGAGGGACGTTACACTTGACTGATGGTAAAAACTGACCAATCTTCTTCGGCGGCTTGAACTATGTTTTGATGGAAGCGCGCTTCAAGATGTAGCCAATCTTGTCAGTGACTCGTCTAACATATGGCAGTACAGCAGGTACACGCTCGACTGTGGCCGGCTTCACTCGTTCTCTGTGACGTAGGCGCGGGACCCGAAGCTTGTTGTCATGCAAAACTTGCTTGACGTGTTGCAGCTCGGCAGCCAGGTGTTTACTGTCACAGATCCCTCGTGCTCTCTGAAACAAAGATTTACCCACGGTAACTAACTGTGAAGGATGGTGGTGAGAATCACCGTTTAAATATCTATCTGTATGGGTCTTTTTTCTATACACAGTATGGCTCAAGGTGTTATCAGGATTCCGAATTTCTAACACATCTAGAAAAGCTAAGGAATTGTTTGCCTTTAACTCCATTTTGTATATATTATTCGCATATATTTTTTTCTTCCGACTTTCCCCCTCGGCTGTGTACAGTTATTTATAGAAACATGATAAAAATTGGCTGAAGATACTTAGTAGACATTACCCGTAAAAATATATACATACTTCTTGTTTGAAAGGTCAATATTGATATAAAAGTAGTGCCCCACCGGGTTACGAATTTGCTTGCAATAATTTGAAATAAAGTAAAAGACAAACTTCCAATCGTAAATTTTACGAAATTCTTACAAAAACACCCAATTCATCGCTTACACGTCTGTGAGCAAAGAAATTTAAAGAACCAGTACAAATGTACGCTAAAAGTTGCGAATTTACCAAGGATATCAAATTACGTCTACTCAATAATGAAGCTAGAGTTGCCAATTGCCTGTACATATTGCAGAATGTATAAGTTACGCAGTAATATTATTTAAAACGAGGAAGTTCAGTTTGATTTAAATGCAACACGTAATAAAGTTACAGCCTATATACGTTCCACTCGTGGGCACAGGCCTTCTTTCATTTTGAGAGGGATTTATTAAACATGTATTTATGTATATTTATTAAATATATATTGCAAGGCCGCCGCGGTGCCCCAACGCATGTTGACGAATTTCACATGTCTTCGAAATATATTTTTTCTATTTCTCTGACATGCAGGTTTCCTCACGATGTTTTCCTTCACCGCCGAGGATCGAACCCGGGTTGCTTGCGTACTGTGAAATTTACAGCGTGCGCTAACCATCTGAGCTACCATGGCTCTCGGAAGTCGAAGTCGGAAGAACAAATAAAAGTGAATTCTGATTATCCACCCCGTCTGGAGTGGATAGACGGACACGCATTTCCGAGTATCTACCCTAGGGTGGATTCTTTAGGGTGGATAAACGAAATAACCCGCATATATTACTCTTAAGGGTTAATAATATTAAAAAAATGACAACTATTATAGTATTAAATAAAAAAGGAAATTATAGTATTAAATAAACAAAGGAATTAGAATACAAGCAACAGCTGAGACTATAACTAGATTCCTTTCTCTACTCTAATTTACTTGTTCATTTGGGTGGAGCTTTTATATTTCTGCTGCCATACAGTATTGCATCATGAACATAGTGAGCATGTATGTTGGTGAGTGAATGTAATCTCAATTGTATCTATCTTAGTCTTCTTAAATGGCACAAATGGTGTATTGCTCTATTACACACAGTCTGTGTGTAATAGGGCAATACACAATACACATGGAGATAATTGAAGTAAACATACTTAGTCTTTTTTATAAAATAAGGGTGATAAACGAGCATAAAGACCACCTGGTGGTATGTGTATACTGTTATTATTATTATTATTGGGGTATCTATATATTTATTATTATGGGGGTCATTGATAAAGTAATCACATCTGGTTGGACTGGATAAATATATAAAAGGAAAAAATAAATATACATAAATATATATTTAATATACTAACATAAATAAATACATAATACATAAATAAATAAAAGCCCAACAAGATGGAGGCCCTCGGCAGGGGAGACCAAACGATCGAGGGTTAGGGGGAAAGGGAAAGAAACCGGCGGACGATGCGGGCGGTATCGAGAAGCACCGTCCTTTGAATTTGAGCGCGGAGCGGTCCGTCACACAGTCCCAGTCACCTCAGATGACCCGAGAGGCTGACTGGGATTAGCCCATTCGCAGAGACGACTACAGGAATAATTTCGGCTGGCAGACCAGCCCACATGTCAGTCACCTCGTGAGCCAGGTCCAAATATTTTGTTCGCTTGGTTTTTTCGGCTTTCACGAGGTTCTCGTCGTACGGAATGGTAATGTCAACCAAAAATATCCATGACTGTGCCCGGTCCATCAGCACAATATCAGGCTTATTCGTAAGAATAGTTTATTATTATTACCCCAACGCCCGCTGACGTAACCACTGGCCCGCGCCGAACATCAACCACCGGCACGCAATGGATTTTAGTTTGCTTTGTATGATTCACATAGCGCTGCGTCCACTATCCGCGTCACCCGCACCGACCGCCGGCATATATGATGAAAAATGCGTTTCGTGCCCGTGTGACGTCACGTTACAAATCAATTCGCCGCTGACATCGCTCACTGCCGCACGTGTTGTTTTGTTTTGCTTAGCCACGTTTAGCGAGTTTTTTATATATAAAAATTACTTTACTGTATTTTTATTCTGTTTGCCTATTAATGAAAAAAGAAACCTCTGGTCTCTATATGACCACTACCCATTGCACATAAATAATGTGGTCCGTATTTTATCTGTGTCCAGAAAGCCATCTGTACAGCTATATATAAAATATATTTCGATATAATAAAATAACGCTTGAACCAAGAATTTTTTTTAATTTTGTATTATTGGGGATAATTATTGAAATAAGGTGGTATAAGGAGCAGAACTTGAGATATTTTGCATATTATTTTGACATATTTGATATAATATTTTACACAAATGACCTTTGTGGGTTTTGCCTTGTACTGCAGTATCTACATCGGTTCCACAAATGTGGTGCCCTCGCATGGCCTTGCCTTTCTTATCAAATGAGCAGAGGTCATGTGAGGGCACCACAAATTTTGATGGAATTGATATCCGAAAATTTTAATACTAAGATAAATCGTAAAATAATATAAATAAGTACACATAAATAATACCATAAATATGATATATATATATATTTTTATATTATGTAATTTCATCCATGAACCCCAATTCTACGTTTAGTTTTAAGTTCTTCTTCATCTTCCAACCAGCAGTTAATAATTATATCTTCATCAATCTTCATGACCGAATACGTTAGCTCACGACAAGAAAACACTCGAAACTAAATAAAAAATTTGGATACAGTGGACGCATGCCATTGGTAAATTCGTTCAATTCGTTGCGTGCCATGCGTGTGGTGCATCTGGCGCGGGCCAATGGAAGCGTACCTTTAAGTGACAAAACTGCAACGCAGCGCAGTCATTCAGCGCCTTGCCAAGAAGTGTGAGCACCGTGCCTCGGCAGAATTGAGGACGCAAATGCCCATTGTACTTATTGCCGCACATGATACAGTGTCGGGCCTGGGCATCTCCCGTTAATTGACACCCAATTTATGGATGATGAACAAAAAATACTGCGCAAAGGGCTGCTGCCTAGAGGTCGCCAAGGCGCATCTGAAGCTGGCGCAGGACGCGACAGCTTACGGGCCGCCAGCTGAGCGCGAGGTGATGCAAGACTACCTAGCAGCCAACCGCACCCATCATAATTATCAGTAGGCTTGATATGGCTGGGTTTTCTCGAACTGAGCAAACGGCACCTGCCAATGGTGGAGCACACTGGAAGCGTTGATCGCAAATAATGAACGCAAACGCATTGCGAGCGTACTTTAGGGCAAAAGGGTAAGAAATTAAAAGGTTAGCGTATCGGGCTCGGAAGCATCGTTTCTTTGAAGAGCTGAAGCCATCTCTAGCCGTCATTGAGCAAAACGTGGCAGACCGAATGTAGTACATCATGCACTCAAACATATTTGGATATATTTTCGCCGACATCGAACAACTACGACGTGAGGCTGTACCCTCATCGAATGAAAATAATACGGCTGGTAATGTGGCGTCACTAATTGCACAGCCACCTGCATATATGGATGCTGACGTGGATATTATATTTGTGGTTGATTCAGGCGATAATGGAATAGTCTCCCATGAGCTGGAGAAAATGCGGAGCGTATTGGAAGGGGCGATTTCGGAGACACGCAGTTCACCTCTCAAAAATCGACCGCAACTTCCCCGCATACCCCTAAGCAAGCGGAATCGGGCTGTCGTACGGGCTCTTAGCCCAATGCTGGTGACCTATTTGGACGCCAGCTGGGACCTTCGCGAGACGGACTCAATTGTTTTTGGCGCCACACTGGCAGTTTGCCGTATTTTTGGCGCCAAACTTCTCACAGCTGGATGCGCTACTACACAAAGTAGCGCCATCCCAACCTGAAGAAAAAGAATTGAGGATCGTATCGCAAATCAAAGGGCACGCATTGGAAGACTGACAAGATACATTTGGGTAACAATAGGCCAAGAGCTGTGCTCACCGTTAGAATGGCATTTGCTGGGACAAATAGCAGTTTGTCCCAGCCAGAAATCACGCAAAAACTAACGGATCGCACAGAAGACTTGAAACAAAGTGTCACTGCTTGAGAGAAGCAGATTCGTCGAAATAATGTGAGGTAAACGCGGTTCAACCAGAATCATCTCTTCCAGAGTGATCAGAAGAGGCTCTATAAATCATTATAGCGATTAAAGATGTTCGGAGCGAGCCCAGTACCGGATCAGGCCGACACTGTCGCATTCTGGCGTGGCCTGTGGTCAGAACCCATAAACCACCGGTTAGGAGGGCCCTTGGATAGAAGTTGTGGTTAGTCGGGAGCCCAGTACCGGATCAGGCCGACACTGTTGCATTCTGGCGTGGCCTGTGATCAGAACCCATAAACCACCGGTTAGGAGGGCCCTTGGATAGAAGTTGTGGTTAGTCGGAGTGCGATCACTACGCTTAAGGATCCCGTTAACAAAAGTTGTATTTACATAAATACATAATACATAAACACTCACGCCTGTTACCCAGAGGGGTAGGCAAAGACTACAGACTTCCATTTGGCATGATCCTGACACACCTCTCTCGCCTCCTTCACATCCATACACCTACGCATACATGCTCGTCAGTTAAGGGTACTCCTAATTTGGCCCGTTTTCAATAAACCGCCAATTTGGTCGATAAATTCTCGCCTAGGACATCCCTTTTCGACTCTGCCATTCACTTCTGCAACATAAATTTTCTTTGTCACTCTTTCCTCATTCATTATTTCCACATGACCAAACCACCGAAGCATTCCTTTCTTAATCCTGGTCACAACATCATCTTGCAAACCACACTCTTCTCTTATTACACAATTTCTTACCCTGTCATTCAGATTTAGCCCTAACATAATCCTTAACGACCGCATTTCTACTGCGTTGATTCTACTCTCGTGCTTCTTCTGCCACACCCAACTTTCACTACCATACGTTAAAGTAGGGACTAACACAGCATTGTGAATTGCCATACGTGCCTTTTTTGACACATTTTGACTCTTTAAAATAGAGTGCAGGGCCCTATTTACTCGTCGTTCTATATCCTTATCATATCTCCCATCCCTGCTAAATACGCAGCCCAAATATACAAACTCATCTACTTGCTCGATCAACTCCCCTTCTATTCTTATTTCACAAATCGATTTACTTTCTTCTCTTTCAAAAACCATAACCTTCGTCTTACTTGCGTTTACTTTCATACCTCTTTCTTTTAATGATCTGTTTATTAATGTAACCATCATTTGCAACTCGGCTGCCGACGACGCAAGGATAACTTGATCTTCGGCGTACAAAATGCATTTGACGGTTAACTCACCCATTCTTAATCCGCATTCTTCAACTTTCAAATTTTGCAAACAACTGTCCGTAAATAGGTTGAACAACCACGGGGAAGCTACACAGCCCTGTCTGACACCTTTATGGATGTCAAATCTGTCCGAGTAGACCCCGTTGATCCTAACACAAGCACTAGAGTCCCTATAAAGAGACTCCAATGCCTGTATCAAGCCAGCGCTCAACCCAAATGAGTTCAGTGTTTGCCATAGCACATCCCTATCCACTCTGTCATAGGCCTTTTCCAAGTCCATGAACGCACAAAAAACCTTTTGGTTTTTGGCCAAAAACTTCTCCGCGATCATGCGCATGGAAAAGACTTGATCTGTACATCCCATTCCCTTTCTAAATCCCGCTTGCACATCCCAAATTTTTCCATCAGTTTCTTTCATGACCCTTTCAATCAGTACCTTAGCATACAGTTTTCCCACAATGCTAAGAAGGTTGATGCTACGGTAGTTTTTACAGTCTTGCTGCGACCCTCTTCCTTTATATACTGGGACTATTACGGCTTTGCACCAGTCTACCGGTATCCGCTTCAGTTCCCAGCATAAATTAAACAAGGTGTGCAGCAGGCCTGCCACCATTTCCTCTCCAGCCCTTAGCATTTCGAGTGAAACTCTATCATATCCGGCAGCCTTACCTGCTTTCATGCTTTTCATTGCTTTCATTATTTCATTTATACTTATCTCGCTACCTCTTTCCTCTTATTTCGGAGTTTCTACTTCACTTAGTACACACGTTGTCTCCTCACTAATAAACACGCTTTCAAAATAATCCTTCCATCTCTTTAAACTCAAAACTTCGTCATTCAGATTATAGCCATTCTCGTCTCTTATAATATTCATCGTAGGCTATTTCGAATGTCCCCTGGCAGTTCTTACAAGTTTCCAGAACATTTTAATATTTGCCTGAAAGTTATCCGATATTCTTCTATCATTCTTATCCGTTCTTTCTTGCTTTTTTCTTTCAACTACTTCTTTTACTCTCTTATTAAGATGTCTAAAGACTGCCTTTTTTCTTTCAATATCATCATTCGTACCGGTAGAATTACCAGCCTTTGTTGCTAGTAAATCTAGCCATGCTCTCTTCTTTGCTTCAACTTCCATACGTATCTCATCATCCCACCATAACGTATTATTTTTCCTTTCATTCTTTCTCTTACTAACATCACATACTTCGGTAGTTGCATCCACTAAACCTTTCTTTACATTTTGCCATACATTATCCAAGTCTAACTCCTTCATACATAATTCAATACATGCCATGTGTAGTGACATCCTTCCCCTTCCTTTTCGTCTCATTTACACATAACACATCTATTCCTGTATCATACATCATATCGCATACTTCATCCATTTTATCATTCATTGCCCCACATACATTCAACGTAGACAGACGGGCCTCTGCAATCCACTTTTCGCCTCTCCGGGAGACAGAATATGACGGGTGGCGAACCTTGTGAAAGAGTCTGTGGTATCGGCTTGTCGCTCATTTAGCACCACCCGGGGGACACGTGTAGGGTGGACCTAGGAATAGGTGGTCATAGCCTACGGACGCAAGCGACTTATCCCCCCTAAGTTGTATTTAAAAATTATTTTTACTATTAATTTATTTTTGTTTCTTAATTACTGCTGGACATGTTTTTAAGTCTGTTAATTAAATTTAGTGTGTCATTATAGGTTTTTGTTGCCATCTTAGATCCGCCATATTGCATTTTTTTATCGCCAGCAGTTGACCCCTGTTGAGGTCTACAACATTTATTCAAGTACCACTAAACTATACCTATCATCGTTTGCCGATTAATAACTCTTTAAAATCATTATGGTGGCCATCTTGTTTTCCGCCATTCCGTTATTATTTTCACCACCGCTAGAATTTGCCCAGGGTGTAGACCGATATGATTTTCGACGCGACCCCGCTAAGTCTTACCATTTAGTAGGGTAGTAAGTAGTAGTAGACCATCTCCTCGTAGAGCTGAATTTTATTTGTATTCTTCTCAGCAAAACCTTTCATTGAAAACCATATCATGGGGTTGAATAAAAAAAAAAAACAAATTTTGCCACCTTTGGAAGTTCATTTTGAATTTAGAGTGACGTCTTTTTATTGTTGTATTTTTATCAGCAACTCTTTCATTTAATATCATGGAATATCATGGAAGTGGACGAAAAAAGTCCGCTGTCTCTATCAATATATAAAGCTATCGGTAGCATAGCGATGTACCCATCTCATGGGAGATCATAGAAAATAACTAAGCCGTTATCTCGAGCCGTCCGCCCTATTGGATTTAGTATGACGTCAGTTAAATATGTCTACCAAGACCTTGAATGCAATCACGAAGTCATCTACCATACAGCACCGCCTGCTAAGGAACTATATAATATCAATTTGCTTGAATCTATTCACTTACGTTACTTAAAAATATTCAACATAATATAAAAACCAAGGCTTAATTGTTGGGATTCCCCAATAGTAGTTAAGTAAGTTAGTATGTTAGGTAGTCTAGTATTCCTGAGTACTCATATTGTCACCGTAGTTAAGTTTACTTGTATGTTAGAAAACAAAATTAATAAAGAAAAATTCTTCGTCTCTTTCCACTTCATACCTAAGACTAAGCTGCCGCAAGTTCAAGTTGCCACCTAGCTAACTATGTATTTTTATCCAAATTAACCAGCTCAATCGATTGAGGATAACTGCTTTAAAATTTAGTTGCAGAATTTGAACCTAACATACAAATATTGCAAGTTAAATATAAGCTTTTAAAAATGGGATAATATCATAATAAGAGATTGGAATATTTCCTAATCTTTGAACTTTAAAAATAATAAGCATTGTGCACAAATGTTAGCACATGTTAGGATACAGGATATCAGAATTGCGAAAAAAAAGCGGCCCCTTGTCCAGCTTCTTCTTCTTCAAGTCGTAACATTTTGTCCGTTTACGTTAAAATCTGTTAGATACGGGTCTCTCTTATTGGGACCCTTGAAAAGTGAATTCACTTACGTAGTAGACATCCAAACATCTAGTTTCATGCTGACGTGTTAACCAACGCTCCGGGAAGTCTGCAGTGTGTGAACATTTAAGATCGTCCCCCATAATTACATCAGAACCAATAGACCACAAATCCTCACAAAAGAACACCAAGAAACTTGTACGAAGGATGATACGCGATTCTATTGAAATTAAAAAAAAACATCTTAATTTCACAAAAGAAGATAGATGGGTGCTGTCATCTGATTGGGATCCTATAGTTACCAAATTAAATACAAACCCAAGCACACCAACTCAAGGCCTTAAAATAATCTAAGATCATTCTGCGTTGATTGGATCAAAAAAAATATTAAAAAACTGAAGCTCCCTCGTGACCATTGGTGCTGTAAAGCATCCGAAACGTCGGAAATTAAAAACAAGTTAATTAAACGAGATAAAATCCATATAAATAGTTTTATTAATTGCATAGTGTTGTTAAAATTGTCACTTACCATACGAAACACAACAGAAGTGTGCTACTACTTTACGACGGTATTCTGTGAG